ATTTTCTAGACAACCATTCTGTCTGCAAATACAGTTTCAGTTTCCACCCTTCACCCTATAATCTGTATACCTTTCATTTATTTTTGTCATATTGCATTGGGTGAGATCCTCAGCAGTGGTTAGTAAAAGTGAGAGCAGACATTCTTGCTTTGTTCCTAATTTTAGGAAGTGCTTAACCTTTCACTCTGAGTATGATGCTAGTGGTTAAATTTATATAAAGGCTGTTGAACAGGTTGACATTACTGTCTATTCCCAGACAACTGATACTGATTTTTTTTTTCTGGATACTTATTTTACATTTATTGAGCTATTGAGATAACACCCCCCCCCCATTTTACTCTGTAAATTAGAATTTTTATTTCAGTACTTGGGACTGAACTCAGGGCATTCTACCACTGAGCAAAACCCGTAGCCCTTTTTATTTTTGAGACGGGGTCTGGCTAAATTGCTGAGGCTGACCTCTAATTTCCAATCCTCCTGCCTCAGCCTCTCAAATTATTGGGATTACAGGGGTGCACACCACATCTAGCTACACTAATTGATATTTGAATGCTCAGTCAGTCTTGTAATCCTGGATCACTTTATCATGATGGTTCTCCTTTTGATAAACCTATCAAATTAATATCTTAATACTTTGTTAAAAATGTTTTCATCCATGGTCATGAGGGGTATTTTTGTTAGTTTTGTCTCTTGAACTGTCACGTTTTGGTATCAGTTTCATAGACAAAGGTAGACTATGTTTTTTCCTCTACCTTCTTGGTGAGTTTGTGTAGAATCGGTGCAATATACATCTTACATGATTAGTAGTGGAGGCATTTTGGGCTGGGGATTTTCTTTATGGGAAGATTCCCAAGTTGAAATTTATTTATTTTTTGATTCACATTATCTATTTCATTCTGGTAGTTTGGGTCTTTCAAGAAGTGTCATTTTCATCTAAACTGTCAACATTTATTGGCATGAAGTTTTTTTTTTTCCTTTTTGTCCTTTTACTCTGTAGGATCCATGAAGATGTCACCTCCTTTCCTCTTGGTGTATCAGGCTAGAGGTTCATCAGTTTTGGTAATCTTTTCAAAGATCCCAATTCCGATTTTATTCCATTTTCTATACCATTTATTTTTCTCCTCGTTAATATTGCCTTCCTGCTGCTGATTTGAGTTTTAATTTTGTTCTTCTTTCTAGTTTCTTAACATATAAGCTTAAGATGATCAAGTCCTTTGTTCTTTTCTAACATGAGTTATAAAATTTATATAATTTTCTTATATGCACTGCTTTGGTTGCATACTACAAGTTTTAATAAATGACATTACCATTCAGTTCATATTTTAGAAGCTCTTTTTATTAACATCCATGGAGTACTTAATGATGTTGATTTTCAATGATTTACGTGATTTTCCAAATGTTTTTTCTAGTTTTTTTTTTGTTGTTGTTAAGAGGAAATACTTGTTATCTTTTAAATTTTGAGTGTTGTGTTACAGTCCTTCATGAATGTCCCATGTGTTGTTGGGAAAAAAAGAGTATATTCTGCCTGCTTTTGAATAGAATATATTTTTGTTCACTAGAGCAGAGGCATTTCCGTGTTTTTTTTTTTTGTCACAGACAAAATTTATATATTAACATTCATTGATCTTAAGAGGTGAAATGTTTTTTAACCCTGCACATCAATTTGAAAAGTCTCATAACCATCACCCCTACGTTTTGTACCATGATATGAAATGTATATTGATTTTATGAATATTTTATATTCATATTCTTAATAGTAAGCCTGAAATTAAATGTAGATAATATAAACTGTTCTGACATGAAATGTGATACAGGATACTTGAGGATAGATTTTGGAGTCAGACAGGTCTGTATTCAAATCCTTTTTCTGTAACTTATTATGTACATGTTCACCAAGACACAGCTTTTATTCATGTATATAAGGTTTTCTGAAAAAAATAAGGAGTGCTGGGGATTGAACCCAGGGCCTCATGCATACTAGGCAAGCATTCTTCCATTGAGCTACAGCTCCAACCTGAAAATTTTTGATAATCATAGGAAAACACCTGTTCATGGCACAAATAAATTACATGAATAGTATTAATATTGCTGTCAATATGTGATTTGAGAGAATACTGGGAAAGATACATACCTATTTTACTTTTTAAAGAACACTTGATAATTTCTAAATTCCTTTATTAGCCACCTATCTATAAGGATCAAGCACCGCCTCTTTGAGGTTTACATCACAGTGATTACCAGATAGATGACTTGTAAGGATTATTTATTTTATTTCCTATTTCTGTTAAGTGAATTTGCTTATTTTGGAGAGCTGTTCTTAGTGAGAGGAAATCAGGCAACATGGTAATGAGAATCTAGGAATGTGGGGCCCTAGTATGGGAAGAGTCCTAACTACTCCTACTGGGAGTGGTAATATCCATAAGCCTTCAGGGTCTGGGCTACGTACCATGAAGTTAAGCATCAGGAAGACATCTTAAGATAAACTGAATAAATCATAACAGTAAGGCAATAGAAAAAGAAGGAACAATTTATTTTGTCTGTTATGCCCAGGGTTTAATAAGATCTCAATAAGAAAGTCATTAAATTACTGGAATCATTTAACATATATATTCTGGGATTAGAGGCAAAACAAATACTGAAAGCATAGCTGAGCTCTGTAAACATGCAAATTATATTTTCATTCAACAAATATTTGTCGTACCAACTAGTGTTAGGCATTTTGCTGGGCGAGGGCCTGTGAGAATTGACTATGACAGACATGGTCCCTGTTCCCAGTGGGGAAGGAATATAAATAACAGTGCAGGAGCTACAATTGAGAAAGGTAGAGGAGCTGTGGGAATACAGAACAGAGGCATCTAAACCCACTGCCCTGGAGTGAACCAAGGAGAAGAAGCCATGGGATCAAGAGTAGGGATAGGGGCAACAGTTTCAGTAAGAAGGAGCAACCTCTGCATAGGAGGACTTCAGCTGTCAAATCTGACCTATCCCAAAACATTCAGTCACAAGAAAATCCATAATTTAGTGGTGAGTGTCTAAAACATTTAGTGTTACCAAAGTGAGCTCCGGATGAATCAAGTACAGGATAACAATAGAAAACCTCATTTCCCAAAGAAATCCTTGACAATGATTAAAAGAATGACAGCAGGTCAGGCTTGTTGATGCTTTTTATTGTGAGATGGGGGAGTCTGGTAAAAAACTAGAAAATGACCATGGTGTAACAAGGAACTTAAAAATGAAGAATCAGGTTGGTAACTTACATACATGAATACAGGAACAAATTGGCACAAAATGTTAAACATTGTTCCCAACACTGTTTATAATCCTAATTTGGCTTGCTAAGGAAATGAGAGATTTATGGTTAGGCTAATCTCTTAATAAAACTGCAGAGCATCATGCTATTAGTCACACAGTGAATTTCAAAATTTAAGAGTTTTATATTAAAAACTGGGTAAAGGTAAAATGACTTGATTGTAGTTGTAAAACTAATACATTCCCATTTAAATTCTGTTCTACAGTCCAAGGCAAGTATAAATGTTAACATAACACTGTTAAATCAAATCTCAATGCAAGAGAACCAATTGCATCTCTACTTTAAATCTTATCAACTTTCCAAATTTTCATACTAAAATATATTATTGTATTAATACAAACTACAGTATTATACACTACACTGTGTAATAAATAAAGAAATATAAAAATAAGACACATAAATATAAAAGTTTTCTAAAACTAAAAGTACATATGTCAGTAAGAAGGGTATTAATACTGCCAGGTTTGAAGACATACAGTACAAAAATGTTGCACAGATCTATAAACTAAAAGAAATAAAATAATACTGATAGGTAAAAATCAGCTAATGTTGTTAATAAACTGGGTCCATAATAACTAACATTTGGAAATAGTTATGAGCCAAATAACAATGGCATGTCCATGTCTGAAATGGAAGTACATGGGTAAAAGCAGATTAGAAAATTTCCCTTTCGTTTCTGTAGAGAAATTCTGAAAGTCAATTAACATAAAATGAATACTGAGGAGTTAAAGGATGAAATGTCCCAGTGTTTCAGTTTCTCTGACAGAGTCAGTGGTTTTAAGTTTTATTTGGGAATTTTGATACAACAAACAAATCAACAAATGCTAGTTATTGTAGGCCACACACTGAATGAAGGCGGGTCAGAGCCTTGAAAATACTGAGAAATGGCACTTACAGCACACAGGTCTTGCTTAAGGCCAGAGGAGATACAAAGCTTCATATCATATCCTTCATATTTGTTACCACGTACTCAAACACAATCACGAACACTGATTCTGACGACTGCTGTCCTTACCAGTATCAACACTGTTAGTCCCTGCAATCAGAACTCAACGACAATCTTGTGAACTCCATTTTAAATCACATGAGTAAGAAACTTCAGTTCTTCTATCGGCTGCTTCCTTAAGGCTAACAATACACTTTAAATGATAATATGCTCCACTATGACGTCTAAATATTAGAAATTACTACCTTCTACGTTGAACTTATAAAAGGTAGTCAGCACGGTTTGGAACTGCATTATACTTCTCTGTGAAGGGAATTTTGTAGTGCAGAAGTTCTCACATTTTAAAAAACATAATAAAATACTGAAGCGGATTTAGCATATGTTTACCAATAAAAAATTATAAAATTTCTCCCAATTGTACAGCGTAAGAATAAACCAACGTAAGAGTGATAATACTGATAAAAATGAAACAATGCCAGATGCTTATCTAATTAATCAGTTTCCTTTAACCTGTTAAATCTTTGCTTTCTGAGTCATTAAAGTTTTCTAATCTGCTTCATGTTACAAACTTGTTCCTAACTTTGAAAACTGCATGAAAAATTACTAGGTCTGAGGTTCAGGCACACCCGGATTTTTTTTTTTTT